TCTCTCGTCGTCTCTATCTATCTCTCTCTCATTTCGCTTTCAGCAGAAAAATGGCAACTTAGAGAGAGAGAGAAAAAAAAAAAAAAAAGAAAATTTCAAAGTTGATGGATTGTTTCCGTTTTTAAAAAAAAAGGAAAAAAAAATTCCTCGAAGGCAAAATTTTTTTTTTGGGGGGGCTGAGAGCGAGGGTGAGGAGGGTGGAAGGGAAAAAGCGTAGTAATAATAATAATAATAATAATAATAATAATAATAATAATAATAAAAGCCAACGGCCATAGCGTGCTGGTCACACCGGTTCCCGTACGATCACCGAAGTTAAGCAGCATCGGGCGTGGTGCAAACTTGGATGGGTGACCGTTTGAGAACGCCACGTGCTGTTGGCTTAAAAAGAGCAAAAAAAAATGAGAACAAGACAAAGTAAGAACCAAAAACAAAATCTTGTTCTACTGTCGACCTGAGGTAGCTCGACGAGAATGTGAATTTCACTGCTTCTGACCCTGGCCACTCCAAAGATGTTAGTCACCGGAGCCCAGTTCAGGAGACAAATCGTTCCCATCGAAAAAGACGGACTCAGGAAGACCTTCAAGAATTGATGTGGTGCTATCTTATAATAAGTGGCACCACCGAAATTCGAGTATTTGTCCCTAAGGAATCGGGTAGAAACCTCGGATAAATACTTAAAAACTCCGACAAGTAGCCTTGTCGTGTTTAATGGTGGATAATAATAATAATAATATTTACTGTCAGCATTGTATTTGTTGTCGTGTGCATATGCAAAAAGAAAATTTTTTTTTCATTGTTAATTAATTGTCGTTTGTTTTGTTTGTTGTGTCCAGGAACGACTCGGAAGGTTCATACCGCATTTCGTTCAACTATTAGCAGAATGGACTGAAACGTTTCCATACGATTTTCGAGACGAACGAGTCATGGTACACGTTCGTAACATAACTCAAAAATGCGTGACGGTCGATCCGTCGATAAGGAAAGAAGTGTCGACGCTTTTACAAAATCTTTTGGTACGTTTGACGACGTTGGAAAAATACGAAGAATTCCTAATGAGAATCAGCGCGGAAAATTCAACGGATTGTCTCGAAGGTTTAAATACGGTGAGTTAATTGCACCCCTCCTTCTCCTCCTCCTCCTCCTCCTTCCTTTTTGTTGTTGTTGTTGTTGCGTCGGTTGTTGTCGTGGAAAAGTGTCGGAAAAATTTGATTGCGACATTGCGAATTCGTGCTTATACATTAAAAGCGTTTGGAGTAATTTAAAAAAAAAAAATGCTTTATCTAATGCCACGACTTTTTTTTTACTTTAGTATTATTATTATTATCATCGGTACTTTTTTTTTCTTTTGACGCTTTTTACCGGAAGTCTCGTTTCGATCGACAAACGATTCTCGTGTTCGTGCGTACCCATTCCAGGATCATTCTCCCGACGGATTTTTTTTTTTTTTTGCGTATCCCGCCGCCGCCATTTCAGTTAGCAGACGACAGACTGGACGATTCGGCATCTAGAAAAAAATAAAAAAAAATTTTCTGGAATTTTCGGTGTGACAAAACAAATTAATTAAAAAAAAAGAGGAAGAAATTTATTGGCATTCGTACCGCTTGGACGATGTGATTGAATTTTTTTTTTTTTTTTGTTTTTTTCGTTATCATTATTATTATCATTATTATTATTATCATGATCGTTATATTATCATTATTATTATTAATATAAAAGGTAAAAAAAAAAAATATAGAATAATCCGGAAACGAAAATGAATGAATAAAAACGAATGGAGAAATAGGTTGGTTGGTCGGTCGCTTTTTCACTGACCGAGCGAGAATAATAAATTTATTGCGACAAAAAAAAAAAAAAAAAAAAAAATAATAATAATAATGATAATGATGATGATGATGATGATGATGATGATGATAATAATAAATGGTTGACATTCGACTGGAAAGTGCATTGTTCAGCAAATTTTAACACTTTTTTTTTCTTTTTTTTTCTGTTTTTCTCCAGTAGTTAAAATTATTTTCAGGGTACGATGAGAGAGCGGGGGGAAGGGAGAGAAAGTGAAATAAAGTAAAATAATTTTTTTTTTTTTTTTTCCTGTTTCTGACGTTGGTTTTTTCCCAACCGCAGCAGAAGAAAAAACAGATTAACTACCTGTCAAAAGTATAAAGTTTTAAAAAAAAAATATGGCGGATTCATTATTTTTTCAACTTTTTTTTTGTTTGTTTGTTTGTTGGGGTTGTTTGCTTGTAGAAAATGTTTACGTATGTAAAAGTATAACGAGGATGTGATGGCGGTGGCGGTGGTAACGACGGTGGTAACGCGAATTCACATCCTTTGAAACGTAAAAAAAAAAGAATTAATAATGATGATGATGATAATGTTTTTAGACGGACGTGACGGAATTGTGCGCGTCACCGGGTCTTTTGGCTCAACAGTTGACTCACATTGAACTGGAAAGGCTCAGTTACATCGGTCCGGAAGAATTTGTCCAGGCTTTTGCTAAGGAAAATCCAAATTTGGGTACTTCGTTTAAAGACATGAAAAAAACAAGGAATTTGGAATCCTACGTGTCATGGTTCAATAGGTTAAGTTATTTAGTAGCCACGGACGTGTGCAAGGTGAGTCACGAGAGTCGTCATCGTGAAAATGCGGGTTTCTCTCGAGTAAAAGCACCACCATCACCAGAGACATTTTCCTTTCCTTTCCCTTTTCCCCCTCCTCCTTCTTCTCCTTTTCCTCCCCTCCTCCTCCTTCTCCTCCTTTTCTTCCTCCTCCTTTTCCTCCTCCTCTTTCTCCTTCTCCTCCTTCTCTTTCTCCTTCTCTTTCTCCTCCTCCTCCTCCTTTTCCTCCTCCTCTTTCTCCTTCTCCTTTTTCTCTTTCTCCTCCTCCTTCTCTTTCTCCCCCTCTTTTTCCTCTTTTTCCTCTTTCTCCTCCTCTTTTTTTTCCTCCTCCTTTTCCTCTTTCTCCTCCTCTTTCTTCTCCGGTGCTTTAGAAAATGTCGAGTCTTATTGTTGCGTGCGTGTCAGCAAAAAAGGGTCACATTTGTTGAAAATGAATAATTTTTTTTTTTTTTTGTTTTATTTCTCCAGCATGTGAAAAAGAAACAAAGAGTCAGGGTCATGGAATACTGGATAGAAACGGCGCGAGAATGTTTTAACATAGGAAATTTTAATTCCCTAATGGCGATCATAGCCGGACTGAACATGTCACCCGTTGCGAGACTTAAAAAAACCGTAAGTGAAACAAGATTGGTTATTATTACGATGGTGATGACGTAATTAGAAGAGTGTGATGTCGTCAAAGACGCCATTTTTTTTTTATTTGAAACTAATTTGTTTTTTTTTTTTTTGATTGATTGATTGATCGATGGATGAATGGATGGATGGATGACAGTGGAGCAAAATCCAGTCAGGAAAATTTTCAGTATTAGAGCACCAAATGGATCCGTCGAGTAATTTCAGCAGTTACCGATCAACTTTGAAGGCGGCCATGTGGAGATCCGCGGGTGCAACCGACCAAAGGCAGAGGATCGTTATACCATTTTTTTCACTTCTAGTCAAAGATCTTTACTTTCTCAACGAAGGTTGTTCGAATAAGTAAGCGTCCGTCTTCCCCTACCCTCCCCTCTCTCCTTCCACTTCCCTCAGGAGACCAAGTGTTTGTTTATATTTGTTTGTTTGTTTGTTTGTTCAGGTTACCCAACGGTCACATAAATTTTGAAAAATTCTGGCAGTTAGCTAAACAAGTGACGGAATTTATAACGTGGAAACAAGTCGCGTGTCCGTTTGATAAATGCACAAAAGTTATCACGTTCCTTCAAGCGAGTCCTGTCCTAACTGAAAACGGTTCGTGTTTACCCTTTTTTTTCTCTAGTGCCACGTCATAACTCTTTTAACCTCTCGGGATTTTAATGTTTTTTTTTTTATATTACAGCTCTTGCGTTGGCATCGTTCGAATGCGAACCACCGGAAAATAATCACGAGAAAGAAAGATACAAATCATTAAAGTAGAAAAAGTGGAAGAAGACAAAAAAAGAAGAAGAGAAGAGGAAGAGGGAGAAGAAGAAGGAGGAGAAAGAAAAATAAAAAATTTTTTTGTACTTAAAAAACGCGCCCGACAAAAAAAAAAAAAAAAAATTTCTTTTCCTTTTCTTTTTCTTTCGTTTCTTCATTTTCTTCCCTTCTTCTTCTTTTCTTCTTCTTCTACTTCTACTTCTTCGTCTTCTTCTTCTTCTTCTTCTTCATCTTCTTGTTTAATTTAATCATCATGAAAACGATGGGAAATTTTTTTTTTTTTTGTGTTCGTGATTTTGATGTGTCCGCTGCTGGAATTTGTTCATTTTTCCTTTAGGTAGGTACGTCAAATTTTTTTTTTTCGTTTTTTTTTTTGAATTCTTCTTCCACGACTATAAATTTTATCCGGCCATTTTGTTTGTTTTTATTTTGTCCGATAGAATGCGTGCGTGATAACGATAACGATGATTATTTTTATTTTCAGGTGTTTTTCTGTCGTACGTTAATCATAATCAAAAGTTAGTTCTCATCTATCGTTTTTATATTTATATATATATATATACTTAAATCGAATACGAACGGGGGGGTGGTGATAGGTGGGGATCTGGGGGAGGGGGGAGAAGGGAAAAAATCAATAAAATCAATAAAAATCATTTAGGATATTAAATCGTTAGGACTTAAATTCAGGTTTTAAATTATATCGAATCGTTCAGGGAAACGATAATCGATTCTCGAACAAAAATTTTTTTTTAATAAATCGATCGATTTTTTTATCTATTTATCGATCGATCGATCAATCGAATAATGCGGCAGCCAATCTAGTCATTTTTTATTTTTTTAATTTTCTTTCTTTCTTTTTTTTTTTACTTTAATAATTACTGTTTAATAATAATAATTATTGTTATTATTATATCGATCGATCGATTGATTGATTGATTAATGACGATGTCGTTTATTAATAATTTTTCTGTGATTTATTCATTCCACGATTGATTGATTGATTGATTGATTCATTTTAACTCGGGTTTTTTTTTTTAAACGTGAATTTTTAATCGTTTTTATTATTGTTATCATCATCGATTCGATACCCGTTATTATTATTATCATCATCGTCGTCTGTTATCGATTTTAATTTTTTTTTTAAACGTGAGATAATCGTATGGATTTTATTTTATCCGTTTTTTTTTTTTTTATTCGAATCTCTTACGGATTAGACGCCATTTAATAATTACGGGAAAAAAAAAAAAACAAAATGGCGATCGATATTTAATTTTTATTGATTTTATTTATTTAGATTTTTTTTTTTAATTAATCGAACGAAGTTGAAAAAAATATTTGATCCAAGATTATTATTATTATTATTAATTAGGTCGCGTTTTTTTTTTCTTTAACTGACTCCATTTTTATTATTATTATTATTATCATTGTACCTGAGAGAAAGTATCATTTAATAATTAAAACGTAGGCACACTCACGCACACGTGCGCGCGCACGCGTATATATATATATATATAATATTAAATGATGAGATGAGAATTTACTTGACGAATCCTTTATTATCATTATTATTATAATAATAATAATAATAATTATTATTATATTAATAAGAGACAAAATAAAACAGAAAATTATAAAAAATTACAATAAATAAATAATATTTAATTTTTAGAGTAAAAAAAAAAAAAAAAAAAAAAAAATCGTTTTTCATTAGTATTATCATGATCATCATTATTATTATCCTAAAAAATTTAAATTCAAACGCGATAAAATCCTTTAGTTGAAAAAAAAAAAAATAACAATAATAATAGTAATAAAATTTATTACTCGAATAATAATAATAATAATAGATTTTTTAGTACTCGAAGTAGTATTTTTGTCTTACTCGAATGCACGCAAAATTGCGTAAGAGAAAGGGAAAGGTAAAAGAAAAAATTTATTTTTTAATTTATATAAAATTTATATATATATATTAACAATAATAATAATAATGATAACATTTATATCGTAAGTAAATATATTGCACTCGTTTCATTCATCATCGACAGAACCAAACCAACAATGAAAAAAAAAAGGGGGAAAACAATTCTACTAATCACGTTATTGGAAGAAATATTTGTCCTCCTTTTTCGTGGGATCCGTGGAAATTTTCATTAGGTTTGGTTATTTTAAACGATGATAATTTAAGGGAGGGATAATTTTTCCTTTCAATGACGCGTTTTTTAATCCATCCTTCCAATTTGAATAAATTAAAAGAAGAATAAATAAATAGGGAAATACCGGATATGAAAGAAATAACGACGATTGCTATCATCAAACCCGGCGCGACGAAAACGATTAAATATAAAAGGAATGTTATGTAATTCGGTAAACCTTCCAATTCCTGTCGGACAAAAAGAAAACGTGTCAGGAGACAAACAAAAAAAAATCATCGCAAGAAAAGGAAATTTAATACTTACCAAACCTATCCAAACGATTGGTAATGTTAAATTACTAAAATGTGTTATTTTCGAATTGTAACGTATTTTTTTCATGACGATATTCGTTTGTATTCTCGTTTGAAATTCCATTGGCATACCTAAATTAGGTTGTAACATAATGTTTGTACCGTGTTGTTGTATGTTAGGTGAAAGACCTTCTACATCTTCTAATAATTTTGGATCACCTGATAAAAAATGTGGAAACGATACGGCGGCAGGTATATCTAAAAAATAAAAATTCCCCCGTTAGCATTTCCGGTTTCCGGTAGGCGAACCTTTTTTTCCCGCACGTTTAAACTCACTGTAATAACATGGAGTTATGTCGGAAAGACCTTTCGGAAGGCATTTTGTCGTATTAGGATTACAATAACAAGCTTGTGCCGGATTAACTTCGGGAGTATCGAAAACATCTTCCGGTAATTTATACCAATATGCTGGTATACCATTTTTGGCGATTCCTTTCCCGACAAAAAAAAAAAAAATTTACGTTAGCTACAAATCAATCATTTAAAAAAACAAAAAAAAAAAAAGGATCGATCGATACGAAACCTTCTTTAACGAAAACTAACGGTATCATACGACAGAAATTTTTTCGGAAAATTTGTGGTATTATTTTGGGAGACATGTTTCTTGGAAAAATGACACCGTCGCTTGCTCCCCTAATAAGTTTACATCTTTCGTGTGGTTCCGGTCTCACCGGTCCCCTAATAAAAAAAAAAAAGGTTTTATTTAAAAACAATAATAATAATGATAATGATGAATAATTATCAGGTACTTACTCCGAATTGAAATCTTCCGCTTTGTAACCCCACGTTTTCAATCCTGGAGAACCGTTCCAGGTATCGATTGAATATTGCGGTAAATAACCTTTATCAGTCATTTTTAAACCGTTATCAAATAATCTTATCGTAATTACGTTATCACCTTCGTCGTACATCTAAAAAAAAAAACAAAACAAAACAAAAGAATTAGTTTGATAAAAAAAAAATTTAAAATTTATAAAAAAAAATTTGTAAAATTAACCCGATCTAATAGTCCAAATTTAGAAAATGGTATTTTTGTCGAAACAATTTTATTAGCCATTTTAACAAGTGGATCATCGTATCCCCAAAGATAATCGTGTACCGTTAAATTTAAAAACGGTTGAGATCCGAGATATTTTGTTAATGTTAAAAATGCCAAATTTGTAAATATCGACGAATCCGATACCATCGATGCCAAACCCTTTAAAAAAAAAAAAAATTTTCCCATTACACAAACTAAAAATCTTCATTTATTTATTTTCTTTAAAACATATTTACCAAATAAGGTATATTAGGTACGATGATTTTTTCTAATTTAGGATTTCCTACTGATAATTCAGGTACGTGATTAACTTTTCTTCGTGGCACGTACGATAAGGTACCGTTCGAATGAAAAATTGGATTCGTATTTTCTAATTGTTCTCTAAAAAAACAAAAACGTTTATTTTTAAATTTTCACCGCCTTGTAAATTTTCAAAACAAAACAAAAAAAACTTAAACGCTGCCTCCTACAATTTTTTCATAAGTTCAATCGTGGCTTCGTTTAATCATTTTATGTTTTTGTTTTTATTTTTACGTTATTTATTATTATTATTATTATTATTTAAACAAAATTTCGCAATAATATTTAATAAAATCAAAGCGGAAAATTTCAAATTATAAATAAATAAATTAAAATTTTTTTTTTTTTTTTTTGGACGAGTGTCAATTAATAATGATAATTTTTTTTAAAAAAAAAAAAAGTACTACTCACGTGTACACGTAGGGTCCCAATTCTTGAACTTTTAATTTTTGTTTTCCCGCCAAAAATTCATTCGGATTTGTAAAATTAAATATGTATATTTTAACGTAAATCGTTACCGGCGGTGCCAACCATAAATTTAATGCGAACGTACCGGGTGCTAAACTCAACGTCTAAAAAAAAAAAATTTTTTTATCATTCGTCTAACATTCCCCTTCCTCCCCCCCCTTCCCGGGGGAGATATCTGGATAAAAATAAATTACTATTATTATTATTATTACATACCCAATTTAATATTTTTTCTAAAGGATCAAACAGTCTTATAAAAATAGCCAATGACATTAAGGCAAGTCCTAAACTACTCATAAGAAAAACTAAAAAAAAAAAAATAATAATAATGATATTAACTACAATTACTACAACTACAACAAACGGATCGAATTACTAATCGTACAAACACAACAAACATTATTATTATTATTATTATCATTACGAGAATTACTATATTTATTTTTTTTATTTATCAATTCCATATTATTGTAGTGATTAAAACTACAAATTTTGCATGCACTCAACACTTTCGAACGACAGCAACATGTAATAATTTCTTATAAATAAACGTAATAATAATAATAATAATAATAATTATAAAGAAAAATTCGCGGATTTGATTTTTTTTTGTCGCAAAAATTTTAAACTCGTTAACCTTAACAACAAAATAACTTGACCTAAAATAATGCAATGATGAATTTCATTTAATATTTGCTCCGAGCAATGTAAATAAATAAAAAATTAATCAAATTATTTATAACCGTTTGTTTGTTGCTATTATTATTATTATTATTATTATTATTATTATTATTATTATTATTATTATTATTATTATAATTAAAGTGAAAAAAAAATTTTTAATTGAGTGTAAATGTAAAGAAATTCCCATTCTATTGGACATAAGTTTTCGTAAACATTCCATTAAATTGTTTTTCGTTAACATTTATTATTATTATTATTATTATTATTATTTTTGTGCGTGCGTAAATTACGGTAATTATAATAATGATAATTTATTACGTGTTGGTGCGACAAAGTTTTAAATAAATTAATTTTAATCTGTTCGTGACCTATTCAATCATTGAAAAAAAAAAAAAAAAAAAAAAAAATTCCAAGGAACGGTTATTCAAGTTCATAGGATATCGTCACGTGGTTTCATTTTTTTGTTTTTTTTTTTTTTTCGATATTTGACGGGAAAAAAAAGCAGAAGAAAAATTAATCGGAAAAGCGATTCGCGTGTAATTAAAATTTTTTGCTATTTTTTTTCCCCTTGTACGAACGCATTATCATGAAATTTTTTAAAAAAATATTTTGGCGCCAAATTTTTAGCCACGACGAATACGTCATTTTGTACGCCAGAATGCGCTAGTAGCGCATTAACGTTTTTCAGTTTTTTTTTTTTTTAATTTTTTAAATTTTCCCCATAATTTTTTTTTTTTATTTTATCGAACAAATTATTAATTAATTAATTAAAAAAAATTAAAATTAATTAATTAATTAATTAATTATAATAAATAAAAGGAAAAATCAAAATGGATTCAATAACAAAAAAATTTTGTTGTTTTGTTTTGTTTTTCCCCCACTTTTTGTTACAACAAAACCTGATTAAAAATTTCCGGCACGTGGTTGGTACTCTTGGATCAAATAAAAATACCAGAAAAAGTTTAAAAAATTATTTTTTTTTTTTTATAAATTTTTTCTATGCGAAAGTTCAACGGACGACACGACGAAATCAACCGGAAATTATTTGTCATCACCGTGACGTTGAGCATAAAAAAAAAAAAAACTAATTTAACATAAGCTAATAATAAAACGATGGGGGGAAAAAAAAAATGATAATAAAAAAGACGATGATGATAATTTTCTATTTACTATTTATGTATTATGCATTTTCCTAAATAAAAAAATCAGGTTTTCAGGTATGCAAGGACGTTCGGACGACGTAAAAAAAAAAAATTTATTAAAGAAATAAAATCAATGAATCCTAACAAAACAAGTTAAACGACTTGATAGTTTTTTTTTTTTTTTTTTTAAAATTTTGTCTTCCGCTTGTTTGTTTGTTTGTTTGTTTTGTAAACAAACAATTTGATAAATTTTTTCAGTTTTTTTTTGTCAATGTCGAACCGCTAATTTTTTTTAATAAAACGTATTCGATGATGACGATGATGACTTTTCGTATTTCCGGTTTAAAATAATCGTTAATTAATTTTTTTTTCTAAAACCACGTTTGACGCATTCGTCTTCTGCTTTTTTAGAAAATAAACAAAAAAAAAAACAAATTTTCTTACCTTTTTTCCTTCTTTTTTTAATATTCATTAAATCATTCGTCGATTTGAATAAATTTTCATTTTTATTTAATTTTTTATTGAAATAATTTTCGTGTATTATAGCAGCAGCAGCAGCAGCAGAAGACAATTTATTTTCTTTATTATCTATATCCCATTTATATATTTTACTTATATTAACATCGGTATCCATTCTACCGAGAAGATTTTGTTCGCAATTTTCATCATCAACATCATCATCATTATCATCCCTTAACTGATAATGAAAATTATCAACGTTTTGACTGAAAAAAAGAAAATTATTCGTTACGTACCTAATCGATATTATATTTATAAAAAAAAATTTTCTTTTTTTTTTTTTCGTTTTACCATCCGATGTAAAAAGATGATGGTGATGATAATGATGATGATTTTCTTTTTTCTTTCGTTGTAACGTTTAATTTATATTGGCAAACATTAAACGAACGCCTTCGTCTTCGTCTTTGTCTTTGCCTTTGTCGACTTTGTTCGAACGATTTCCACGATTTTCCTCCATTTCCTCTCGTAAACGCATTATTATTATTATTATTTTTATTCGATCTTATATTATTTTTAAAATTTTCTATTCTTTTAGCGGAATTTGATTTTTTTAAACTGTTTATTATCGATGGGATCGTTTCCGGTAAATCGATCGCCATTTTTTTTTATTCCTGGAAAACAAATAAAAAAAAAAATTATACGATTTCTTGTAAATTTCATACAAGCCGGTATAATAATCATTATTAATATTATTAATAATAATAATAATAATGAAATTATGTTCGGGGTGAGTAATAAGAAAATTGTAAGACGACGACAATTGAAAATACACGTTGCATACACGTGCATTTGTCAAATTATAAATAATCGGGGGGAAGTAAAATTTGGTATGATAATTATTATTATTATTATTATTTCTTTAAATTTTAAGGTTTTTCACGTTTGAGGCTATTAAAAAAAAAAAAAAAACAACAAAATTCGTAAACATTTTTTTAAAAAATGTTTTTAAGTCGGTGCAATTAATTATAATAGGACAACCTAAAGGGAATTTGTGTAATTTTTTTGTTTTTGTTGTTTTTGTTAATTAAAATGGCGGAAAAAATCGTTAAAAAAAAAAGGGGGGGCGAATGACGCGTTTGAAAAAAAATTTTCCACGAAAAAATTTTCCCGAAGTGTAATTTTAGAAAATGTCATAAATAAGGTAATGTTAATTTAATTTATTATCATATCGAATTTTCTGTCTCTTAATTGATTACAATTAATCGTTGAGGCATTTAAACGACCTTGACCCTCATTTTTTTTTTTTTTTTTTTACATACAAATATAATAACTTAATTGAAAAAAAAAATTAATAATAATAATAATAATAAATTAACGAATTTTTTAAAATGTCCGACGGAAAACGAACGGAAAACATTTTTTTTTTTAATCCTTCGGAAAAATAATTTTACTTCCGGTTAAGTAAATAATTATTAATTTGTGTTGATATCGTTTTTGAAATAAATGTCGGAAAATAAATTTATTTTTTGTTTTGATTTTGAGGAGGACGACATTTTTTTTTTTTAAATGTGGAAAATTTAAATGTCACCGGATTTTCTTTTTATTTTCCTCATCAATTAAATTACTCATGTCCTCACGTCAGGAAGAAAAACGCGTAATTATATCCGTTTTATTGACGCCAATCAAAATCAAATATCGTTTTAATTTAATTTATGAATTATTATTATTATTATCAACGGTTATTGTTATGTATCGCTTACATAAAAAAAAAAAAAAATTAATAATTTTTTTATGTAAAAAAAAAAAAAACATTTTTTTCGTTACCCCTGACCCACTTCGAAATTAATTTTCTAAAATCGGTGTAAATGTATAAACGTATAAAAAAAAAAATTTTCCAAGAATCAGGGATGAAACTGGAGGACGACGACAATGATATTTTCCAGGTTTACCACCTCCCTCCCTCCGTCCTCCCCAAAAGGAGTCATAATTAGTTGATTTTCGAAAAAAATTCTTACATTGAAATTTTCTTTTCGGGAAATTTTTCTTTCTCGGTAACAAACGCACACTCGTTTATCAATAATTGTAAATAAAGTAATTAAAAAATAGACGCCAAAGAACGTTAAATTGATAATAAATAATAATAATAATAATAATAATGATAATTGGAAAATTATCAAAAACAAAAGTTCAATAAAACAATTATCGACAGCAAAAAAAAAATGACAGTTTAAATTTAAACAAACAATCGGACGCCACCATTTTTAGAAAAAAAAAAAAAAAAATTTAATTTATTATTTTCGTCGATGAATTTTTTTAATTTATCCCGAGTCCCCTCCCCCTCTCCCTTCCCCTTTCTTCCCCTTCGTTAAAAAAAATAATAATAATTAATTATATTCAGGGTGAAATTGTCAAATAATAAAAATTTTTTTTCAAACTCGTTCCCGGAAATTTTTTTTTTTTTTGGGGAGGGGGGCGGGGGAAAATTAAAAAAAAACAACTTAAATAGGAATTAATAATAATAATAATAATTTAGGATAACTATAGCGAAATATTAAATAATAATAATAATAATAATGAAAACAGAAGAGCATGTAAACATGTCATGGTCACCTTCAAGACAACATTTTATAAAAGTCTTTGACCTTCCAGTCTGATGATATTGATAATAATACCTGGTTTACGCATTCACGGGCACACACGCACACACACACTCATAACAAAAACCTGTTATTTGTTGAATTGATAACGATTATTTAATTTATTATATAATTTATATAATACATTAGTTCAAGGCATGCTATTGATTTTTTTTAAAATTTGAATGGGAAAATTTACATTGACATACACACGCACACGCACACACGCACTCACGCACCCCCGTACGCACGTTGGGAATTTCATTTTTCATTATAATTGTTTTAAAAAAAAAAAAAAAAAAAAAACGTTGTCGAACTTGACACATTGTGCATTTTATCCCCCCCCCCCCGTTAATTTTTTTTTTACTCATTCGAC